CACTCACAAGAAAGCAAAAACCTATAAAAAAAAAAAAAAAAAAAGAACCCAATACAGTCACTGGCACATAGGAGGAACTCAAAAGAGAATGGCATTCCTTGTGACCTTCGTCACTTCATGTAGTCCTCATCAGGCTTCTGTGGGGTAAGTATTATCACTATTTCTCATATAAGGAAAGGAGACTCAGGAAAGGAACTAATGACTGAAATGCCAGCCTTCTGAGTGGCAAAGAGGCAGCCAGAGTTCAAATGCACACCTGCCTCTCTGCAAAGCCCAAGTCCTCCCCTTCCACCTTCCCACCCCCACCAACAAGCTCTTCTGATCTATCACTGGCCACGCTCTCCGTTTCTCTCCAGCTCTGGCTCACTGCTGCTCTCACAGCTGTTACCACCTCTGCCAGGGGGGCTGGAGGATGAAAAGTCATGCTGTGTTCTTTATACCCTGTGCCCAGCACGTGCGAGGCATCCCGTCAGTGCTTGTTGAACTGAACTCCTCTCTCCTCACTGCAGCCACAGAGAGAACCCATCTGACCTTCCATGTAGAGTACTGTCCGTAAACCAAAACTGCTGGCTTACTTCTGCCTGCCATTGCCCGCCCTCCCAACCTCCTCCTGTGGAAAGGCACATCCCCAGGGCGTGAAACAAATAACTGAGGTAGGACAGAGTCTTCCCTACCAGAGCAAGCATAGCTATGACTTTCCTAGTGCTCTTGCCACCCAGGGAAAAGGGAAAGCACAGATAAAGTGTAACTGAGTGTGATCCCTCTCTTGGAGGAAGCAACAGCGAACTGCAGGAGCTCTCCTCTCACCACCTCTGATGGGATGATCAGCAGCCCCCTTGTGGCCTCCTCCAAGGCCTGATGCTCCTGGTGGTCCCTGGAGGCCACTTCTGCAGTGCTACCCTCTGGAGTCACAACTTAGGTTGGAGCAGGGTGTCAGGAAGGAGTGGCCATTCAGCCTGAGCCATGGCAGGATCCCGGCATGCACCCATAACAAAGCAAATCCATTATACGTCCCACCACATCTTCCTCTGCTCAGCAAAACCACCCATTGTAGAGCCCCCAGCTTCCATTCCAAACACATTTGGCTCCAGCAGTCTGGGCTCAGATATATGCCCTCGGATATGTGCGCTGCTCTTCTGTAGACACTTAGAGCTCTCATTTCCAGCATTCGCTTGCTGTCTTTCCCCTAACATCTCAGCCTTTAGCTGGCTCTCTGCCTTGAACCCCAACCTTCTCATCTTCATGTCGGTGGTGACACCAGCTGCCTTGAACCATTATTTACCAGTCCTGCCTTATGCCCTCAGCTGGGCACAAACTATCTAAAGGCAAGAGCTGTATATTCTATGCTTCGTGCGAACTGGCGCACTTTTTACACTTCAGGGACTCAAAAGAAAGTTAATTAGGTGGGTGAGAAACAAAGGAAAGAGAATCCTGGAAAGCAATGTAAAGCATAATATATTTAATTTTTGTGTCACTTGTCTGATCCTCTTTAGGCCTCCCCTCATTTCAATTAAGTTTTGCGTTCAGGATGTCTTTCTTGAGGTCATGGTAGACCTAGTTTACAATATTGATCAAGATCCTTTCTAAGTAGACAAAAATCTTGTAGTTCATCCTGTTTTTCCTACATACGGTGCTTTATTTAATGGATTTCCAAGGAACTCCAAATAGAAAGCTATGGCTTGTCAAAGAAAAATATTAAGTCAGTCAATCATTGGGGCATATGTTGTTTCATAACGTTAGTGTTTTCTAGAAAGGAACATTAAAGTATTGCCAGTCAGAAATGTATCTTGTTATTTGAAAGTCACACATGAATCAATGGAATGAATACAGAATCATCTGAGCTACAAATGCTGTTGGAGTCTGTATGTTATTATTACTGAGTACACTGGGTTTGTGCATTCCCAAATATCCCGAAGTAGTTATAATTTAGGTCTAAGTAGGGCACAATTTATTTTGCTGATGTTATATTGCTCATGAAAATACGGCAGTAAAATTTCAGGTTGGCTTACCCTAGTAGTTTTCTTTCTTTCTTTCTTTCTTTCTTTCTTTCTTTCTTTCTTTCTTTCTTTTTTTTTTAAGAGAGATTTTTGTTATTGGGTGTGAGCACTCGCCAAAGAGATAGAGAGAGACAGAGACAGAAAGTGAGAAATCACCCCCCAGGGGGTATGGCCACACCACAGTCCCTTCCCCTCCATTCTCACAGGACCTTGGGCACACACACACACACATGCCCGTGGCATGAGTTTTAAGCCACAAGGTCCAGGACTTGAACTATGCTTGACTATGTGGGAATCCAGCAATGTTACCATTATAACGCCTGCTGGTGGCCAGTAGTTTTATTTCTAGTAATTAAATTGCTTTGAGGAGCTAGTCAGTGACCTGGGAATTAAGGAAGCCAGCTTCCACATGGCAAACTGAGTGGTTTGAGGCTTGGACCAGGTGCCTTGAAAAACGCACTGGATGTGTGCCTACATGCCCCAGATCCCAGCAGGATGGAGAAATGCAGGACTGTAGCATGACCTCATCCCTTTAGAGAATGCTTCTCCCTCTCCCTCTCTCTGTTCCTCTGTTGCTCTCTGGTGAGTGCACAAGCCCTCTGTCAAACTGAAAGAGAGAAAGAAAGAAAAAGAAAAAGAAAGAAAGAAAGAAATAGAAAGGATGGAAGAGAGAGAGAGAAAGAAAAAGACAGAAAGAAGGGAAGAAAGATAAAGAAAGAGAAAGAAGGGAAAGAAAGGAAAGAAAAAATGAGAAAAGAAGAAAGAAAGAGAGAGAGAGAAAGGAGAAAGCAAGAAGAGAAAGGAAGAAAGAAAAAGAGAAAAGGGAAAATGGCTTGAAGTGGGCAGAGGGGGTGACATTAGAGCATCAGAGCCCAGGGGGGAGACCCGGGTCCTCTGTGCGCAACTGTCTAATTGCAAGTCCCGGGCCCGTGAACTCAGCCCTGGACTCTTTCTCTGCTCCATCATGCAGATGATCCCTTTCTGTAGCACTCCACAGACACTCCCTAACCATGACAGCATCCTTTCCTCGACTTTACAAATACCCACAACAGATGCATCTACTGGCCCTGTCCATTGTGAAGGGCGGGGTTGGGCAATGGCGGTGCGTACAGAATAAGCAGGCAAGGGACATCCATTTCCCTGTGTATCTCTTTTTTCAGAGGCAGGTTACTTTAGAACACAGGTTGCCAAACTATTTCTGTCAAGGGCTGCTAGTAAATATTTTTAGGCTTTGCAGGCCACATACTCTCTTTCCAAACCATCCACCTTTGGCATTGCCGCATGAGAGACGCCA